CGTAGGTGACGAGATCAAGGACGGATCCACGGAGCTTCTTCCTCGACGAAAACATTGCATATTTTTTGGATAAGTTCTTCGTTTCTCCAGATACCATTCTAAGCGACGATTAATCATTTTCTCCATCAACTTGCCAACACAACTTTCCAGAGCAACAGGACGGTATGATGATAGAAGTAGAGGAGACTTGCCAGGCTTCTATAATGGAACAATTCTGCCCGTTTCCATGCGCTAGGTACTTCTCCATTTGTCCATAATTTGTTAAAATATTCCAGCAGTCAATTGCGAGCATCAGTCCCCATATGTGTTAAGAAAACATATTTTATCCCATCCGGACTGAGACATGAGTTTCGTTTTATAAGTACAAGAGCGGTATCTAGCTCGCCACGCGTGAAGACATCGTCCATGCAGACATTAACAGCTGATGGTGCTGCAGCGGTAAGGACAGGACGACTTTTCGGCATGGAAACACTCGACGTGAGAGATGCACAAAACTCGTTTGCAAGATTCTTTTGAGAACATGCCACCGACAACGGAAGTGCTCGGAATGGATGATATTTATGAGGAGAAGACTTCAGGCCTCGAGCTATTTTCCAAATTGGGGAGAGTGGCTTTCGTGGATCAATATTTTCACAAAATCCCTTGCATTTACGCTGACCGAGCTTGTCAAAATGGCGGCTTATTTTTTTTTTTTTTTCTGTAGATTTCTTGCCGCACGAATATCGTATTTTTCTTTAGTTCGTCAAGCACGCCTCTCCGCCTGTTGACGTATTGCCCGAAGACGTTCGTACTCCGCGTCAATAGTTGTTCGTTTAAATGGAGGGCTATGACTATGGGTTGATGAGTTTGCAGAGTCAATGACAGCTTTTTCAAACTCAGGAAGTTCAGTTAGCGTATTGCATTTAACTCTCATTGACTGCTCAAACTCCCACCAATGAACTCGTTTGACAACATGATTTTTCTTGCATGTGATAAATCCTTGTATAATTGTGTATGTAGGGATATGGTCACTGCCCCGTGTTTCAATATCTGTGAACCAAATAGCTTGAGACGCAAGAGAAAACGAGACAAATGTCAAATCCAGGCAACTGCTACTCTCTGCACCCCGGAGATATGTAGGACTTCCATCATTTAATAGCGATAAATTATGTGTATGTGCTATGTCAGCAAGGCACCTACCCCGAGGATTTGTGCGAAGGCTGCCCCATATATAGTGGTGTGCGTTAAAACCTCCTGTAATTATATGTGGCGATAGGACTGTGTTCAGGATGTTCTCTAAGCGTGCTCTGTCGAACTTGGACTTTGGAGGTATATATGCTCCTATAATGGTGAACGAGAACGTGCATTTTTCGTCAGAAATTGTAGCACAAACATACTCATTGTCCGGATGGGATGAAATAATATGTGCCACGTACGGAAGTTCTCTGCGAATGAAGATAGTTACGCGACTTTCCCTATTAGTACGTAAGGAGTCAAACGTTTCGTATCTTGATAAACGGATGTTGCTCGGACAACTGAAGTCGCATATAACAATAATATGGTACTTGTACTTGAAAGCCAGCTGTCTAAAATCGGACAATCGGGACCTTAATCCCTCTTGTGTTCCATTGGAAAATAGTGGCCTTTTTATAATTATCTTCAATTGCACCCGATGTTATTTTACATTTTTTTAAAGAATCATTTGAAGCCATTAGCAGGTGTTCCGTTGCGAGAAAAGCCCTTACTTCCAGGAGGTTGTTAACGTCTGGTGAGGTTTTAGAATGGCTTTTAGTGCTGCAAGGACATTGGTAGCAATATTTGACTTATATCACCCTGCTGGCGGGACGTAAATCGTGGCGTAGGCACCAATTCCGAAGAAGTCGATGAACGATGGTTCGCTGAGGATCGAACGTTCGCGGTTGCACGCAACGGATCCACAGTCGATGTTTCGGCGACACTCTTCTTTTTTTGTGCGACACTGTTGCTACGTTTCTCTGTAGTCATATGTGCCACACGTGCTTTTGGACGACGTTTTACTGCACTGGCGTATGTAGGTTCCTCTAGTTCTTCTCGTTGAGTCGGAGACAACGTCGGGAGCCCGACGACCTCAGGGTTACGTGAAGGCGCACGGCGCCTAAGAGCTCGGCCGTTCATTATGCTTGTGCGAGCTGCTGCGGTTGCTGTATGCTTCCGTGGGTAGCCGGAGAAGGATGCCGAGTGTTTGCCGCCACAATTGGCACACTTTGGTTATTGTTTACAATTGCAGTTCTTGAAGTGATGCGGTCCAGCGCAGATTTTGCAACGTTGTGGGCCTCGGCAATGTTTGGCAACATGGCCATATCTTTGGCATCTGAAGCACTGAACCCGTCTTCCAAAGTAGTCTTCGACAGGGCGACTGGTGAAGCCAAAAACGACGCGCTAGGGCATCGGGCGGTCTGGACGAAACACAAGAACAACGCTTCCAGAGGGTCGTGGTTCGACAGTCCCATCCTCCTTGCGAAGGTAGGCAACTTGTCGTTGCACGGACGTTACTCCGGCGTTGAGAAAGTACTCGAGGAGTGCAATGTCAGGATACTCATGAGGCACATTCTTAATTTTCCCTAAATTTCTTGAGTATGTCTGTGGCACGATTGCACAGACCCTGATGTTTCCTAGGGATTGCAGCGTCAGTAGTTTGTTTGCGGATCCAAGTGATGCCACCTTCACAGGGAGGCTTCCATCCTTGTTGATCTTGTGTGACAATACCTTTTCTTGAGTGACCGCAACGATGTCTTTAGCAGTTGAATTTGGGTTCACCTTCCAAAATGATGATTCAGGTGACGTCGGCTTGAAGATGACCGGAATTCCAGATGGTCTGCTCGTATGATACGACACTTTGATCAACAGTGTAGAGTCGTCTTCGTCGTTCATGTTGTTAATGGATGATTTGTCCTCATCTGCATTGGATATTTCTTCTGTACGCACTCTCTTGGGTGGTGGAATCTGAGAGGCCATCTCACTAGTTGGGGTCTTTTGATTCGAAGGATTCATTTCATCACAGGGTCCTGATGGCTGCGAGGGTGGTGATCAGGACCATGTAGCCGGTTTTCCGTTGTTTGTAGGTCAAAGCCGCATTCTCGGTCAGGGAGGCGTTGTAATATAAAATTGCAAATATGAAATAATGCAGGAATGGCAAGGAAAGCAGGAAAAGGGTTTGCTTAGGCGGAGCGAGCAAGTCGGGCTTCCTGCTTCGAACACTTCTTCTAAGTAAAGCCAGGTCGATCAAAATAGTTGATGTGGGACGCCAGGGCCAGTCCCGCAACGAGAACAAGCATCCTCACAGCGCTCCCGAAGGCTCGTACTTGCGACAGTGTCTTACTGCAAACTACTTCGGTTGAGGAGATCTTCCTCTAAACACCTCTGTGAGCCCAAAACGACTCGCACTCAAAAAAATTGACAAGCTCAACGAGCTGCGGTCGTTCAGCACTTCACAGGTTCCGGCAGCCTTTTTTGAATGTTTCAAATCAAAGGGGGAGAAGCAATCTCAGAACACATTCGAAAACAATATTGACTCTATCTTGAGTATTCGCTTCTGAAACATAAAAAAAAATGAGACGTTTAAAAATCTCTAAAGTGAAATTAGAGCGCAGCTCTTGAGGAGAAGGAAAACAGGGTACGGAAGGGAGGGTATGCCCCTCCTCCTCCTCCGTACAATCTCCTCCTCCCCTCCTCTGCTCCTCGTCCTCCCCTCTTTTCCTCCTCCTTTTCTGCTCCTCTACCCCTCCTTCTGTCCCCGCCTCCTCTCCTCCTCCCCTTCTCCTTACCTTCCCCTTTATCTCCTCCCTACCCTCCCCTCCTTCTCCTGCAAACCCTCCCATCCTCCTCCGTACTTTCCCCTCCTCCTCCTCTATACCCTCCCCTCCTCCCACAGTCTCCCCACTAAATTTAGCTGAAAAATGGATGACACGTGACCTCAACAGCAAATCAATTCCCCGCTAAATTTAGCGGGGAACAGAATTGCTGTTGAGGTCATGTGACGCAATTTGTTTCGCTAAATCTAGCAGAGAAACTGAATTTGTTCATAGGTGCCGTGACACCAAGTCTTGTGACGTCATTTTCCCCAAATTGAGCGGGGAAACTGCATTGGCGTTTTGGTCACGTGATGTCGATTTTCCCGCTAAATCTAGACTAGAAATTGAATTTTTTCATAGGTGACGTGACACCTACTCATGTGACATCATTTTCCCAGCTAAACTAGGGCGGGACGACTGAATTGGTGTTGAGGTCACGTGACAGAAATTTTCCCGCTAAATTTCGCGGCGGTTACGCCAACGACGACGCCGCGAAACACCGAAACGGGAGCCTAAGAGTTGTGCTCTAATAAATTGTTGATTAGAATACTACTACGGCACGGAGATTCAAATTTACAATCGACCCTTCACACGTCAATTACCTCTCCAGCCAATGAAAGATGTAAGCACCTTGTAAGCACGGAGCGGCACTAAGCGGGCTGCGACTTCCACCTTCGGCACCTAAATTGCGTCTAGCGACGTAAATACTGCTAATATATATATATATATATATATATATATATATATATATATATATATATATATATATATATATATATATATATATATATATATATATATATATATATATATATATATATGTATGTTCCGCAATATCTTTTTTTTCATTCCAGTGTCTCTTTAGGAGAGACATACTAACCGCTTCTATCTTTAGATTGCGCCGTTGCACGTGAATTTACTTGGCTCCGCATTAGTCGCAGTAAACTCGAATAAAGTTAGAAATACTCAAACTCAATATCGTTGCAGGGCCCCAAGGTGACTCAGGCGGTATCACTGAATCACAATGCGGTTCCTTTGTGCGCTCATCTCGCAGGACTTGCAGTCGTCCTCTTTCAGAAAATTTAAAATGAACAGCTTCACAATATTAGGAAGTATTGCGTAAGTTCTTTGAATTCTTAGCTGGTTACCCTACAAGTTTCCACAATTTTGAATGGGTTGCCAAGAACTCACTTTTATTGGACTGCTGCGCCACGCCCTGGTGCACAAGAACCACTGCAAAAATCAGGGTGTAGAATTCCATCTGAAACAAAGAATACCTGTGTAATATAAAAATCGAACGTCCTAGGGGACTTCAAAATACAATTGGGAACTACTTGATGTTTGGGACCAGAATTGTTTTTGTATTCAGACTTCAATTCCAACCACTATGCGTGACCCTCCTTCAGCTACTCCTGATGGAATAGTGTTTAACTGAGTGTTTCCATAAGAAATTACAAATCAACACCTTGGATTCTTTAGTGAAACTTGGACGTGGCATTTTTCGTCTTCAACTGTTTGGTGAACGAATGACGACGAAGTTATTCGCAATGACGGCACAGAGAAACGGAAGGATGCGAAAGCCGCCTGGTATCCGGTCCCAGGAAAGACACTTTGAGGGGAACGGAAATCCTAAGGAAAGAGACGGTAGGTCTATGTGGCTGATTAGCGAAAGCCGATTAGAGTTATCCCAACAACTACGGATGGACAGGCAGTGCACGAGGAATTAGGATGAAAGGGTCTTTTGTACCGCAGAAATAACTTAGGCGTCGCAGAAACCTCAAGCTCCATATGAATGTTCAGTGCTAGCGGGTGGAAACAAGAACTAACTATGGCACACAAATGTTGAAAAACAAAATATCGGTATTACTTAATCTGTACGTCGAAAAGCTTCTATTGAGATAAATTGTCTGTGGAGAGGATTCGAATGCTACTTTTTTTTTTAATATAGTTCTGACATTGTATGGCCTCTACTGTTGATCGCGCCTCATGAAAAAAAAAACATTTTCTGGAGCATGTTTTTCAAGAATTTGTGACAGCCAAAATTTAAGGATACTTTATTCTCTCCTTTTTTTCTTTTCGAGTGATTCGTTTCCTTACTATGTTTGCTGTGTCTTGTAGGCAGTTAATAACGCGTCCAAATGTGCCCTATAGACTTCTACCTTGATCGCCGCTGTCAGGGTGTGTTGCAAAATAAACTCGCATCAAGCTTGAGACGTTATGAAAACCAAAGATTAAAACTGCAGCTTAGTTTTAGTCATGCCCGAAAAAAAATCTTGAACGTAGAGTACGTACAAGAATTTTGTGCATAGAGTCATGAAAATCAGCTAAATATGGCGGAAACGACACAGCCATTTAACGAATTTAACGTGAATGTGGAAAGTGCGACGTGTGTTTCATTGTTGTAGTTCTGTGTGTCGCCGGGAACTCGCAATGCGAGCGCAAGAACGTATTCTCTGTTAAAATGTAGTTCAGGATATTTTATAAAAGACGAATAGGTTGCCATTGACAGCAGGCGTCATTCGTGTCGATGCATTCGTAGCGTGTATGTTGAGCTTAACCAGTGACTTTACGTTGAGCGAGTGGCGCACAGTTCAGCGCTGCGTTTTAGGCTCATCATCTCAACTTTTATATGCGTGCGGAGTCCGCGCTTCCCTTAATGTGTATTCTTTTGTGCGGGAAGAAAAAAGAAATCGTACTTTCTTCTCTTAGACATTTTAAACAAAAGTTACGGATATCTTTTAGGTTAACTCAGCTGGGCCATCGGCAAATCGCCTTCCTCACCTGACCGCTCGCATTCCCGGTGGCAAGTGGCGATTCGCACATCGTTCAACCGGATTTTATTTACAGATGCCCGATGTACTCGTAGGACGCTCGGGGGCTATGAGGGATATCAGACTGACGAGTAATAGCTCAACGGCTGATTACGTATATCTTGACCGTTTTGTGAGCCCTCGTAAACACGTTTCATACACACACGAATACAAACATGGTGTCCCGGAATCGAAAATGCTTACAAGCAACTGCAGCAAGCGCGTGAAGGTGCGCTCTAAGAAATGCCTGCGCGTCTACTTACAAACCACTCGAAAAGCCAATCTCTGCAATCTACGAAATCAGCTCAGCGAATGATAAAGCTGAAAATCGAACTATTTAGACCTCAAAATTAAGTCGGCTCTTTGGCATTACGCAATGCAAGCATGACGCTTGGCATTGCGTAATGCCACAGCGCGGACTTCATTTTTAGGTCTAAACCACAGGTCTCAATGACAGTTGCTGGATCGCGCCTCCCCGCTCCGCGAGTGCGGCCACCGAACGGCAATCTTGCATGACGCGTTGCTTTTTTTTTTTTTCTCTCTCTTTTTTTCGTTTTGCTAGCGTCGCAGAGGCCGGCGGCAGCGTGCTACACACGTTTTCTACTCGTTCGTCGTCATTCGCCGAAGACTTTCTTTAAGATTCTGTGTGACGCGTCATACTAAACACCCTGTATATATATCGGCCACGGAGTTCTGGATCGTCCGGCTGTTCCGGTGAGTTGCTATCAATAAAGGGCCGGGGGGCAGGGGGGGGGGGGGGGGGGGGGAGGAGGAATCTGTACGTGCCCTTATGTACTATTAACCATGGCATACTCTAATGGATCACATGGGAACACGAATAGAGCAACGCTGTGGAGCAAGGAGGGTTTTCTAAGGCAAAAGTACAAGACGGCGAGAATGAAAATCTTTGAAGCGCGGCCCATATCGTCGTGTGCAATCTGTTGACCAATCACGATTAGGCGAGCCGCGCTCCGAAGTCAAGGGCAATTAAGTAGGTTGATAATGATCCAGCACTGATCAGTGATGAGGAGCTGTTCTGCACGGTATTCTGTAAATTGTCTAACGACGAAAAAAAGACGTACCTTTCCCCCTCTTTCGTCACCACTGGACGCTGGATCAAGCTCGTTTCTGGACCGCGAGTGCCGCAAGTATACAGTCGTCAGAGTAAAGTAAGACACCGACCCAGAGGCACATACGGCTTCGCGCACATTGCACTCGCAAAACACATCCACAAGGCGTCGACTCTTGATCGGTATCCAAGCGTGCAAAGGCACAGAGACACACCACTTTGGCGTGCCAAGGAAACTTTGAACACGACGTGAGACCGGCGAAACTTGATTTCGACGAGTTATGCTTTCTTCCTGCGGCACTGCGCTTTCGTAAAAATGTCCACGTGTTCTCAACGGCAAGTATCACGGCTCACACAGGATCTAAAAGAATGTCTTTGGCGCATGACGACGAACGTGTGGAAAACGTGTCTTTAGCACGCTGCCACCGGCCTCTGCAACGCTAGCAAAACGAAAAAAGAAAACAAAAAAACATGCAAGATGGCCGTCCGATGGTTGCAACCGCGCTGCAGCGAACAAGCGCGGGGATGCGCGATCCAGCAATTGTCATCAAGATCACTGCTCTAAACGGATATTCCGCCTTATCATTCACTGACCTGATTTCCTACATCGCAGAGATTTGCTTCTTGAATGTTTTGCGGGTAAGTAGACACGTAGGCATTTTTAAAGTACAACTTCACGATTGCCATTGTGCCTATTCATGATAAGCATGGTTCTCTAGAAGTAGTTTTCTAAAGCCTTATACTTGCCAAACGTACGCTAGCGATGTTCTTTTCTGCAGGAGGCTCACGACGATGCAACGGATAGTTACATTTTAATAGTTATAGTTAGGCCGTTACTAACTCAAAGTGGTTAGGAGCCTAACTATACCGAGCGTTAATATTTTCCTAATTATGCCTTTTGGTAGAGACCAATAAGACACTAATCTTTTTTCTGTGAAATGCATACTTTTCAGAGGAGCGATTTGGTCAGCGTTCCGTGGAACCTTTTTATAACCGTATTTGTTTATTATCATCTTCACTCTCGCGCTCGCAAATCCGATAAGAGCGGGAAAAAAATAACAAAACATTTCTAATTATAAAAAAAAACTGTAGAGATGAGGAAATACAAAATTGAGTGCGAGTCATACTAAAACGTGAAAGCCGTATCAAACGCCGTAGCAACGAGATGTCTTCGCTCATACCAGAAAAAAAGTCGCGACTAAATTGGAAAGCTAAAAGGCACGATTTGTATTATGTTACTCTTTTCAATTGAGTCTTTTATTCTCAACCATCGATGTTTCGCAGACCTCTTGTGGATCGGCGGGGGTGATGGAGGACCCCGTTTGTGGTGAAGGGAGGGGAACGGTATAGGTTAAATATAATAATGATTTAATAAATGAGTATTACTAAGGGCTAGTGCAAAGTAGACTTTTCTTACTGACATACACACGAGAAAACTCGCCCGAAAACTGAAACATTTCTTGTCGGTCTGAAAAACGACAACTTTTATTGCCGGGCTTTCCTGATGAGGCAAGGCTTCGCGGACCCCTAGAATGCCTTCGCGGATCCCCATTTGAAAACCACAAACTCAAACTGTTACAAGATTTTACCAAAGAAAAAATAAGCATTAACACTTGCACTTTTTTCTAACTTTAGGCACCAGTAACGACGACTCTACCCTAAGCGGGAGAAATCACCCGAATTTTCGCATTACCAAGATACGGCAGTGGCTTATATTTATTGAAAAAAAAATTAAAAAAGGCACACTTACCTTGCTCTCCGCGGTTTTTTTCGGTGGTGAAGTGTTGCCTGTAGCGTGCACTCCACCGTAAAAACAAAAACTCCGCCACCTGCACTACACGCAGAGGCGATATTTCGTTACGAAGTTCTCACAATGTAGATGCGACGCGAACAAGAGCTGAACCGTTTAAAGGGACACTGACACCCCCCCAAAAAATATTTTTCATTTTTTGCCAGGCGCTTCATTATGGTGTCGGAGGACTACCCAATTAATATTTTGCAACAGAGTAGCGTATTTTTTTAATAAAGCCAAAAGACGCAACTGCTCGAAACCGAAACCGAAACCCGACGGAGGTTGGAGAAGTGGAGAGAAGAGAGTGGAGTGGCGGAAGTCACGTGGCTACACCCGACCGTGTTTTTTTTTTTTTTTTTTTTGTCTCTCTCCTTCTTGTAGCAGACGACATGCGGCGTACGGGAACTGTTCGCCGTGGGATTCTTTTGCAGTTATGTATGTTCCGCTCGTTGTTCTGTACTCCAAGATGAGTTGTTTTGTACATTGAGGAGATGGAGATGAGTAGTGAGTGCCCGTGGTGAATTTTGATCGGCTCCGAAAAGAATACACCCAAGATGTTGCGTGAAGAGCTGGCTCACATGTCCTGCGTC